TACAGAGGATGGGTGGGAAGGGAGCTCTTTTAATGGTTAATACAGTTCTGGTACCTTGCTGTAGCTGACAGATAAACACCAATCCTACTAGTTCATCAGTGTAATGAACATTTAGAATGTTTTCCTTCTGCAATGATCAGAGATTGATTTGCAGCAAATCACTTCTAGGGATTTGGAGGTGGGGTGAGCAGGCGAGCAGCTCCCTTTGATCCTGTTCTCTCTCACTGAAGCCAAATGGGAATTTCAGCTTTGATTTCAGTGAGAGGAAAAGTACTGCAGAAAGATGCATGTGTTTCAATGACCAACCGCTCTGCTTCTCCATCCCAAATGCACTCAGGGAGACATTTGATGTGAGGGTTTGTGGGCAGCCATTTTCAAAGTGCAATAAAATAACTCTGGTTATTATATCCACAGTAAAATGACTATTGTTACACTATCAGCTTCCTGAGCACTTGGAGATGGCTGCTGTATCCAGACACGCTCAGTGGGTGGGATGAAGAGGCTCATTTCTTGAACCTGACATAAAAATTGTTTAAAAAGTGAAAAACAAAGACTCCCCAATTATCTATTAATTAACAGCTTTATGTTTTCCATGGAATTAATCAGATTTCTGTTCCTGGAACAAATTATTCCAAGTTTGGCCTCAGAAGTCACCCACTGAAGAAGCTGATTTTTTTAGGCATAAAACACAGGAAGCAATTGTGATGTCACACAGGCCTGTGTAGCAGGACCAGACACTGGGCAGAAGGGGAGACAGAAATCTCTCCCTGGGCCAGGGAATGTGGCTGCACATCTATGCAGAGGCAATAGTGGGGCTTGCTCATTATTTCTTAAAAAAGAGGATGCTCTGCACTGTGTGTGCTTTGAGCTATAACCTGGCATCAGACAATACTGTGGGTAAGCAAATTTAATTCCATTTTCTTTTAGAACCAAAAAGGTGTTTTTTAGAACCAAAAAATGAGTGTTACCGTGGATCACTTAAAATTGAGTTTTATCACCTGAGAAATTCTTCCTTCCTCACAAACTGACATAAATGGCATTTTTATATTTCTAACACTGGAATCTCTCCCTCTCTCTGCAGTTATGTGGTTGTGGACTCTTGGGCGTGGGGATATGGCTATCAGTGTCGCAAGGAAACTTTGCCACGTTCTCTCCCAGCTTCCCATCCCTTTCCGCTGCCAACCTTGTCATCGCCATTGGTACAGTCATAATGGTGACCGGCTTCCTGGGGTGCCTGGGTGCTATCAAGGAAAACAAGTGCCTCCTTTTGAGTGTAAGTCACCAATACAGAACTTTTATATGTGTACTAAACCCTGATTCACTCTCTATTTTAAAAAGGGTTGTTTGGAAGACCCTGTAAAATTTACTAGAGAATGACATGTTGATAGCTGGTTAAGTCAGCATCTGGAATTCTGTAGCAGGGGTTGTTTCACAAACTCTATTGGGCGTTTGAAAGATGCTATAAGTGGGATATTGCTGTTATGTAGTAAATTATGTCACTGCTTGATTTATTGAAAGGACATCAGGTAAAGGTCCATCCAAGCCCAATGGCCCACTCAACTAGGGTGGTTAGGGCCCACCAGTTTCTTAGGCAGCAGCCCACAAGGGAAGTGATGTGACCAGCATCACGTCTGCATGCTTTTAATTCTCCAGGCTGAATGACCAGGCACTTACATATAGCAAGGTCAACAGGGGGCAGCCTTTGGTTTGAGTCCAGAGCAAGGCTTGAACTCACAAGTCAGAGTTGTAACAAGAGCCCTTAACCAGTTTTCCACTGTGCCCGTGAAAGGACAATGCTGGTATATTTATTTAGATTTATCAACTGCTTCCTTCTCTGTGCATTACAGTAAGTTAAATATGAAATACAAATCAGGAACCATTCCCAAAGGACAGTTAAGCCTAGCCAGCTACCAAATCACCAGTCTGTCTCTGAATTTCTGTCTCTATTAGAAGAATCATTGTAGAAAAGTTAGATCATCCTAGAAAAGCTGAGAAGATTATTGACATTTATTGATGCCCTGGAAAAAGAAACCCTTGTGCCTCAAAAAGGAACTGTTCTGGATTCCAGCAGAATCTGCCTTGAGGTTACATACCGGCAGAATCTGACCTCAAATTGTTCTGGGCTCTGGTGGACCTAACCTCCGAGTGAATTCCAGAGACAAAGCACTGAAAATGCTTTGCCAGCATCCCATTCCTGTTCAAACCGAGGGAATCGAGATTCATTTTGCTGATTGGAAGTGTAGTATTGCTCCGGGAGGAAAGAGACAGTCTTTTGAAGAAGCCAGATTCCAAGTCATTTAAGGTTCATCAGTCAGTGAGGCTCAGTCGTATATTATCATATGATATTGCAAATACAATTTTATTAAGATGCATTATTTTTTTAAAAAGAAAGGAAGTTTTACTGTTTTGCTTTATCATCACCTCAAATTATTAAAACTGGTAGAGGGGAACAGAAGAGGATGGGTAGTAGATCTAATTGTCCCTGTTTAGGCTTGTTATTGTTTTTTGTATTTTGTTTAGCTCATATGCCACATATACTATAGGCAGGTTCATTTTACCCAGCAGTTCTATGACCAACACAATGCTGTTGCTTATGTTTCTCATCCCATGCTGCATGAAAATTTTTGGTTATTAGAAAAATTATTAGATTCAGTGTAATAAAAAATATCGTATCTACCACTCAGTTGGTCTAATAAAATATATCACACCTACCCAAAGAACCTTGCCTGCCTATGTCCTTAGACCAACACAGCTACAACCAAAAATCCAGCACGAAAATATTGACGTTTTTACTAAGTGTCCTATTGTTGAAATCAAAATAAATCAAAAAGAAACAAAAAATTCTATCCATACTAGGTTTTATGGAAAATGTCAGTATTTGGCTAAGACCTTTGCTGTTGTCCTATTAAAAGTTTAAAGGGCCTCAGTTGTAACAAAGAGATTTACATACTCATGTGACTATATTGCTGGTACACTAGAGACCTCTAGTGGTCACAAAAAGTAGTGAAAAAATGCTGGAGTTTATAATGGGGGAAGAAAACCCTAATTGGTTGAATGTGTTTACTGGAAAAAAAAGATATGAAAAGGACTTCAACATCCTGCTTTTAAAAGCTACAAATTAATAAAGCAGTGACACCAAGAAATAATCAAATACAATTAAAGCTTATCTTCTGGGAAGTTGTTCTTGTACCAGGTGGAATTTATCTTTGATTCTGTGCTTGCTTTGCTGAATAAACCAAGGCAGGTGCTGGCTGATTTCTGGAGCCAGGTCCCACTGAACCTCAAGGGCAAGAGGTAAAACCAGTGTGACATGACTGATGCAAAAAAAGGCTCTTTTCTTCTAGTGCTTAGCAGAATGAAGATCGACAATAGGATACAGTCCCAGCTCTCATGAGTGTTTGGGCTCTGAAATCTAATGAAAATAGAAAGACCAGAGAAATACAAGATTTGCAGAAGTTGTGAAGATTAAATGATTATTCACGTGCTTTCATAATTGGAAATTAATTTGCATATTGTGCAGCAGGTTTGGGGGAACTTGATGGAATAAAGGATATACACCTAGGAATTTCACAGACCACCACAAACTTTTTGAAAAAATGTATAGCAATATTCTGAATATTACCTGCCTGATATATATGCTTTAAGATGCCTATAAAGCTGTGCAATGTGTTTTGAGTACTAAATGTATAATAAATTATTTGCAGAAGGGATAGTTCATCAGTGTAAATGTGATGTGACATATATGCTGCATATATCAAGGTGCTCTGTAGGCTTAGGAGCTGAAAGTGATCCTTTCCTTTCCATTACCATTGGAAAATAATTCGGATTTTGGGGCAAACCAGTTAGGATTGCCTGTACCACATCCTGCCAGCATCACTGTGCTCTTACATGTATGGAAAGAACAGCACACTGAAGCTGGCCTGTGTAGCCTGCTAGCATTTAGTTAGCCTGTTTGAACCTGTTTTTTACTCAATGTGTACACATGCCTTGTTTTTCCTTTGTTCTAGTTTTTCATCGTTTTGCTGATAATTCTCCTGGCAGAACTGATTTTACTAATCCTGTTCTTTGTTTATATGGACAAGGTAAGCAAATATGCCTTGTAGATTAGTTTATCAGGTCTAGCAGCTAAATTGGTTTGTTTGATTTTTGCTAAACAAAGATGCTTCGATTATTCTCGCTTTTCACAGCAGAAATCATTCCTACCTTGTGATCTTCGTTTTATATTTCTCTCCCCTATACATTGGCTGAAACCAATAAGGAAAGCAGGTGGCTGGATTACCTGTGTGGGTATAGGCAAAAACTGCTGAACTGAGAAATTTCTAGCTGAATCCAAAGTCTAGGACCTCTACTAGGTATTCAGTAGGAACCGGGGAGTAGATCCGTAGGTTGCCTCATGTATAGCCTAATGTAGAGTGTGGTCCCTGGAACAGTCTGGGGCAGGAGTGACTTGAAGACCCAGAAGACACAAGAGGTTGGAAAATCCTCATGCTCCAGAGTGTGTCTGATAAACTGGGGACGGAGTTGAACAGGAGCAGGGACAGGTCTCAGAACCTGAGCTCACCTCGATATGTATTTCTGACCAGGTTTTCTGAAAACTTTAGAACCATGACAGTGATCCTGGGTAAACATGATTTTGATGAAACCTAAGGTGATGTTACAGGTTACCTTTAAAACATCATAGAAGCACTTAAAATTGGAGCATTCACCCATTGAAGACAGGGCCGGATTAAGGCACAGCCAAACTAGGCACATGCCTAGGACCCTGAGCTGTGGGGGACCCCAGTCTTTCCCTCTGCGGCAGCAGCACAAATGGCCCTGCCCACCCACCCATCTCCCTTCCCTTTCTCTTCCCTTCCCCTCCCCTCCGCTGGCCTCACTGCTGCAGCAGCTGCTTCCTAGTGGCAGCTCTGAGCCCCACTTCCTGTGGGCAGTAGCACCGGGGTGGGGAGGAGGGTCTCGACCAGCTCAGGGCCCTCGAGTTTATTTGCCTGGGGCCCACTAGAGGGTTAATCTGGCCCCGATTGAAGGGCATTAACTCATGATAAGTACTTTCTAAACTTTTTAGGTTCATGGCACTTAGGGCGAGGTTTATGCACTGTTTTTACCTAATCATTCCAGGGCATTGTTAGTATGCTGCAGGGAGATAAAATGCTCTACTTCCATTCCTTAAGCATCACAGGATGCATCATTCTCAGCCCTTCCCATTCCTCTGCTCTGTGGGCAAATCAGCCCTCCTGAACTATACTGCCCAGGGCGTGGTGCTGGGCACAGGAGAACACCCTTTCCTGTCACCAGGGGTGTGACGCTGCCCACTCTGAGCACTCAGGTTCAGGTTATCAATTTGCTGCTTGCTCTGAGCACCCAGGTGCAAGTCATCTCATTGGTTTGCTACATGCTCTAGCACCTCTGTACAAACAGCAGCAGCCTCCGTAGTATTGGGTCTCAGCTCTGCCCTGGGGTGGCATGAAATGAGCCCGCTACTTCCCAAGTTTTCCCTAGTGTGACTGCTAACCCAGCTGCTGCTGCCATGTGGCATGCACCAAGCCTGCTGGGTCTCAGTTCTGCTCTGTTATGAGTACTAACTTAATTCCCCCCCTACCCCAGTTCCAATTCAGTGAAACACCTGCAAGAACTTGTTTTTTAATTTGTTTATTCTATTTTTTTCACTCCTTTCTCTTTACTTCTCTTTATCTCTCCCCCACTCAGTTCACTTCAGACAGTCTATTTTTTTTTACACTTCTCTGACCAAGTCACAGCCCCCATGCCGGCTTCTCCACCTCTGAGCTACAAGCCCCCATCTCCTTTTGTCTACCACCCCAGAGTTCTGGATCCTATCCATGCCCCTGCTAGCCAAGCACTCTAGTGGCAAGTCACAGTTGTGCAGATCTGAGATGGCATAAAGAAGCTGTTTTCAACCTTTTTTCATTTGTGGACCCCTAAAAATTTTCAAATGCAGGTGTGGACCCCTTTGGACATTTTGATTGAAGGTACTTTAAATTTTAAGTGTGGGTATTCACATACAGGCAGTACTTGGACTTACGACACAACTGGTTCCTGAAAACTGCGTCTTAAATTGAAGCATCGGAACTTGGAACTGATTTTCCCATAGGAACAATGTTATAAAGGAGGGATTGGTTCCTGAACCAAGGCCCAATACTCTATTTTCACCAAAAATAACCAGAATTTTGTACTCAATCAATTATAAATGAGTAATATAGCTACCTGAATGTATTTAAATTGTAAACAGCAATCATATTGATTTGGAAGGACTTCTTTGAGGTGACTTTGCTGGACTTTTTGAAGGGCTCTTGGTTGGACTTTTTGAAGGATTCTTGTCAGATGTTCTCCAGGGAGATGGGCGACACAGCGAACTTGTTTGCTGGTGTGGCCTTGTGTTGGATCAAGTGTTGTAAAGTCGAAATTGACATCATAAAGTCGAAACGGGTTGTCAATTTATAAGCATCATAAGTGCTGTTTGTTGTAATTTGAAACGTCTTAAGTTGAGGACTGCCTGTACTTTTGATTGATCATCATCATTTTTTGCAGACCTCTCAGACATAGTCTGTGGACCACAGGTTGAAAGCCATTGGCATAAAGCTTTAACCAGTGACTGTCCTGAAACCTTTAACTTTGTGATGGCATAACATTCCACATATTTAAATTTGTAAAGGTAACCTGTAATAGCACCCCTAAAGCCAAGGTTGAAATGAGGTTGTTAAACATTAGGACTCAGGTTTCTGGTGAAGTGAGATTCAGCCCATGAAACTTGTGATATATATATAGATACAGTCATGTGCACACACCCACACACACTCACACCGATAGCTGGATAGTTATTTTTATGGTGCAATAATTACTTTGTATGTGTGGCCAATTTAAATTTATTGCGTGATTAACCAGTTAATTGCATGATAATTACTTTGCATGTGTGGCTGGTCTAAATTTATTGTGCATTTAAGCAGTTATTTGAGTAATATATGTAACATGCAGCTGGAGCCGATAAGATACAAATCTACTCTGCCTTCTACTCATAAATTTCATTGTTCTGCTGTCTAATCATGGGCCAGTTGCTCAGACCAACTTTTTCAGAGGTGTCTAGTAATTTGCATATCAGCCTTAAGCTACTTCCCCCACCATGGAGTCAAAATGCTAAAGTCAATGGGCTCTTCAGGAACTCAGCACCCTAGAAAATCAATGTCAAAGTTGGACACTCAAATTTTGACACCCTCCCCACAACATAAATAGATCCATTTGAAAGCCCTTACTTCTCCTGTGTGTCAAGTACCATCTTGGTGAAGCAGGACATTCCACATATTTAAATTTGTAAAGGTAACCTGTAATAGCACCCCTAAAGCCAAGGTTGAAATGAGGTTGTTAAACATTAGGACTCAGGTTTCTGGTGAAGTGAGATTCAGCCCATGAAACTTGTGATATATATATAGATACAGTCATGTGCACACACCCACACACACTCACACCGATAGCTGGATAGTTATTTTTATGGTGCAATAATTACTTTGTATGTGTGGCCAATTTAAATTTATTGCGTGATTAACCAGTTAATTGCATGATAATTACTTTGCATGTGTGGCTGGTCTAAATTTATTGTGCATTTAAGCAGTTATTTGAGTAATATATGTAACATGCAGCTGGAGCCGATAAGATACAAATCTACTCTGCCTTCTACTCATAAATTTCATTGTTCTGCTGTCTAATCATGGGCCAGTTGCTCAGACCAACTTTTTCAGAGGTGTCTAGTAATTTGCATATCAGCCTTAAGCTACTTCCCCCACCATGGAGTCAAAATGCTAAAGTCAATGGGCTCTTCAGGAACTCAGCACCCTAGAAAATCAATGTCAAAGTTGGACACTCAAATTTTGACACCCTCCCCACAACATAAATAGATCCATTTGAAAGCCCTTACTTCTCCTGTGTGTCAAGTACCATCTTGGTGAAGCAGG